CTTCTCCTGGGGCGAGGCTCCGGGCCGCTCGCTCTGCCTGGCTTGGCCACCGCGCTCCCGGCAGCCTCTGTGTGAGGACGTTTCTCCTGCCTGCCCCCACGGAAAGCCTCCGACTCCCTGGCCGGCTACCTGGGGGTCTCAGCTGGCAAATGGGGTCCTGTGGGCGGGAGGCCTGGATGGCACACACTCGGGGCCTGCCGGGGGCTGCTCACGGTCACCGCTCAGGAACAGCCGGGCAGGCGGGTGACACCCGACTCCGGGTGCCCGAGCAACCTGTGCACAGTCACAGAGCTGCACCCCACCCCCAGGACGCCCCCCGCGATGGCCCCGTCAGCAAGCGCAGGCAGCTGTGTGCGCCGTGAGCTCGGTTTGGAGGCTGCAGGCGCTCCCTGTGTTTGAAGGGAGGACGCCCTGATGGACCAGGGTGGGGGGCGGACAGCCAGTGCCGCAGTGGGGCGAGGGCGTCACACCGAGCCGCCCTGGCTTCCCGGGAATCCGCCTGCTGAGCCCCCTCTGCCCACCCGTGTTGCCATGGTAACCAAGCCCCCACCACGCGCTGCCAGGTGCGTCCGGCCCTCTGCTGCAGCCTGCGTCCCCGTGGTCTGACCACTGCCGCATCTGCCACCCCCCGCAGCGGGGGCACACCCGGCGCGCCCTCCTCTCCCCCCATGCGGGTTCCGTCTCCACGTCCTGCACCTGACTTCCCAGATCCACCTGCATCCGCCCTCGGCAGCGCCGCTGCCCGTGTGCAAGACGCCATTGTGCACTGCCCGGAGCTCCGTCCGGCTCCATCCGTCCTCACAGCTGATCCAGCCCACGGGGCCACTGTCAGTCAGGGGCCAACCACGCTGTCCCCGGTCAAAAGCCACTGCTTGGCATGGAAACCACACTGATGAACACGGCCCAGGGCCCCACAGGGCCTGGCCAGGCTCAGCCGCGCCAGCCTCTCTACGGTTCCCCAGCCGGCCCAGGCTTCCTGCTGCCCCGCGGCCTTTGCATGTGCAGTTCACGCTTCCTGCAACACTTTTTACCTGCCGTCCCTCACCTCACAACACACACACACACACACATGGGCGAACACACAGGCACACACACATGTGCACACACATGCAGGCAGACACACATGTGCACACACATGGGTACACATACACACACTGGCACACACAGACACACATGGTACACACATGGGCACACATACACACACACAGGCAGACACACGGGGGCACACACATGGGCACACATGTGCACATACACACAGGCAGGCACACATACACACATGTACACACACATGCAGGCAGACACACACGGGCACACAGCAGGCACACACGCACACATACACACAGGCAGACACACATACACACATGTACACACATGCAGGCAGACACACACACGGGCACACACGCAGGCACACACATGTGCACACACGTGCAGGCAGACACACATACAGACGTGTACACACACATGCGGGCACACATGCACACTCTCCTCAGAGCCCTGGTGCAGGATGTGAGCACGCCGTCTCACTTGGCGCTTGGCTCACGGTCACCCGTCTCCCTCGTCGCACGGACAGCCAGGGCCCGGCTCAGCCTCCAGCGCCCGGCCCCGCTCCGTGCGGGCAGTCACCCGAGCACCCTGGCGGCACACGCTGACCCCGTGACCGTGTAGTCCTCCTTCCAGGAGGGAACCTACACAGAGGCCGGGCCCCACCCGCCGCCTGCCGCCCACCCACGCCCCCGGGCACACGGCTGGATCACTCTCCCAGCCGGCTCGCACACCCACTGGGGTGACACCACGCGCTGCCTGCCTCGTGGCCGTTTAAAAGATAGCACAGGCCCCACGCGGGAGAGGGAGGCCCCACGCGGGAGGCCCTGATGTAGTCCCAGGCTCCTGGGGAGTAAACCAGTGGGTGGAAGGTACCTCTCTCTCTGTAACTCTGCCTTTCACATAAATAAGGAAACTTTAAAACTAACTAAATACAATATGGGGCGGGGGCAGGGGCGGGGCAGGGGCAGGTGGGTCGGGGCAGGGGGGTGGGCAGGGGCAGGGACAGGGGCAGGGGCGGGGCAGGGGGGTGGGCAGGGGCGGGGCAGGGGTGGGGCGAGGCAGGGCAGGGGCAGCCGTCTGGCCTCGCGGCTGAGGCCGGTCAGGACTCTCAGCTCCCTCTATCTGGGTGCCTGGGTTCGATCCCAGCTCTGGCTCCTCACTCCAGCTTCCTGCTAAAGGGATGGCGCCGATGGCTGGGGCCCTGCCACGGCACGGGCGACCTGGATGGAGCTCCCGGCTCCCGGCTCCAGCCCCGCGCAGGCATTCGGGGAGGGAACGAGCAGCCTGGAGCTCTCCAATAAATAAAAAGTCAACGACAAACGGAGGATGGCGCCGATCTTCACCGGGCGGCCCCTCAGTGTGCCGGGTCCCTGAGCCGAAGCAGGAGGCCGACGCGGGCCCAGGACCGGCTCCCCCCGGTGTGTGTGCGCCCAGCCATCCGGGAAGCAGCCCGGCCAGGCCCCGCAGGCAGAGGGCGGCTGGGGGAATTCCGGAGATTTTTATGTTCGTCTTGGTATTTTTCTGGCCTCTTACAATAGTTAGGATTTGTTTTTGTAAGAGAAAAAAAGCCCTTCCCGCTGATATAAAAACACCAGCAGCCTTGCCCCCGCTGGCTCCGCGCCGGCTCCCTGCCCCCAGGAAGAGGGAGGCGGGGCCCCACCGGCTGAGCTGGAGCAGGGAGAAGACCCCTGGGTGTGTTCCGGGCCAGCCCCGGCCTCGCCTGCACTGCAGGTCCCAGCAAGCTCTGCCCCAAGGCTGCGGAGGCCTCGTCTGAGCCCTACGCTCACCTCTCCCCCAGCCTGTGCAGCTGTAGCCGGGACAGCCAGGGGCTGAGCACACAGGAAACCTCCCAGCCGCTCCGCCCCCAGTGGCCACAGCGTCTCACCTGCAGCCCTGCCGCTGGGGGCGGCCCCACACGGAGCCCGGACCCCAAGGGGCTGCCCTGTCAGGTCAAAGCCAGCCCCGGGCAGTGAGGCCCACCGCTATCTGGCTTGCTTCCCGCCTCACCTCGCCCTCACTCCAACACTCCGGCCAAGAGCTTCCGGCCCCCAGCCCTGGGTGGCTCCCCGCTCCCCTGGACTCGGAACCGGCTTCCCCGCTGGCCCCTGCAGCGCCCCCCACCCATGGCCGCTCCCCCACATCCCACAGCCTCCCGGCAAAGAGCCCCCACCCTGGGGAGCAGGGCCCTCAGCAGTGGTGGCCGGCTGTGTGGACTAGGGGTGGCACACAGGGCTTGCTGTGCCCGCTGGACCCTCCCGACAGGCCTCCCACTGCCCGCTGCTGCCCGGTCCAGGTGCTGTCAGAGGCTCCCCCAGCTCCGTGCATCGGGTCACGGCTGGGCCTGGCTTCCTGTTCCCCAGCCACATGCTTGTCACCCACCCAGGGGGAGCATCCAGACCTCTGCTGGATCGGCAGGTGTATGGGGGGGGAGGGAGAGGGAGAGAGGGAGAGGCAAAGAGAGAGAGAGAGGGAGGGAGAGGGAGAGGGAGGGAGAGAAGGAGGGAGGGAGAGAGGGAGAGAGGGAGGGAGAGGGAGGGAGAGAAGGAGGGAGAGAGAGAGGGAGAGAGGGAGGGAGAGGGAGAGGGAGGGAGAGAAGGAGGGAGGGAGAGAGGGAGGGAGAGGGAGGGAGGAGAAGGAGGGAGAGAGAGAGGGAGAGAGGGAGGGAGAGGGAGGAAGAGAGGGAGGGAGAGAGGGAGGGAGAGAGGGAGGGAGAGAGGGAGGGAGAGAGAGAGGGAGAGGGAGGGTGAGGGAAAGAGGGAGAGAGAGGGAGAGGGAGGGAGGGAGAGAGGAAGGGAGAGAGGGAGGGAGAGAGAGGGAGAGGGAGAGGTTAGGGGAGAGGGTTGACTCCCCATGAGTTCTGAGTCCAGGAGTGGACAGACAAAGGCAGCCACAACTCAGCCAAGGAGGCACAGGGCAGAGACACTGGGAGGCCCCGGGGCCTGACCCAGTGTGGCCCCTGCTCCAGCTGCCTCGGGCTGGGGGGCCCTCGGGTCCCGGGAGTCGGGCGGTCCCCTCTTGGCTGTGGTCACTTCGTGCCAGGCTCCTGCTGTTTGCAATACAGAGGGTCGGGTAGGCGCGCCTCCTGCCCAGGGACGCCTCCCCCTCCCCCGCCGCCCCTGTGCTGAGCGCAGGGTGACTCCCTTGGGAGTCCTCACTGCAGAGGCTCAGGGGCACTGTGCAGCCTCCCCGGGCCTGGACACACTCCCACGCTCTCCCTCTGTCCGTCCAGAGCCTCCCCTGCACAGACGGGACCCCAGCCCCAGCCCTGCTGCTCACGCGCCCCGCCCGTCCCCGAGCCCGCGGGGCTGGCAGCTGGCCCGGTGCACACGGCCTCGCGTACTCTCAGCCGAGGGCCCTGCCCTTTGGGAGCCCGAGGCCCCTCGCCCCCACAAGTCAGGAGCAGGCCCGAGACACTGAAGGAAGGGCCCGGACGTGAACTCCCCGGGGCTGGGTGCTGTGTTCCCTGTGAGGGTCGCGAGAATTCATCAAAGTCCTGCACATGGTACGCACACAGTAGGCGCTCACACACTCACGCATGGCCCTCAGTTCTCAGTGCGCACAGTAGGTGCTCGCACATTCACGCACGGCCCTCAGCTCTCGGTGCACACAGTAGTTGCTCACACACTCAAGCACGGCCCTTGGTGCTCGGTGCACACAGTAGGTGCTCACGCAGTTCTACCCGTCTGCACCCCTCTGTATCAACCTCCCTGGACTCCGGCAAATGGGCCATCATGCTCCGCGACCACAGACGCTTTCCCACTGCAGACCCTGGGAGCCGGGACATCTGTAGCCGGGGAACAGACGGCTCCCGGCGCTAGGCACCGTCACACACGCTTGCCCTGTGACACGGCCAGAGCACCCCGGGGCCCCCTCGGGAACAGACAGCTCCCAGCGCTCGGCACCGTCGCACACGCCTGCCCCGTGACACGGCCAGAGCACCCCGGGGCCCCCGGTACCTCCAGCCTCGTCCGGTCCACATCCTTGGGCAGCTTCACGCGGATCTGGTTTGTGACGATGAGGGCGTCGTAAGGGTACACCTGTCCGGGAGGAGACCACGGGCTCACCTCGGGACGCAGGCGTGTGCCCAGGGGCACACACGTGTCTCACGGGGGCAGGTGCGGCAGGGCTGGAGGTGAGGTCTTACCTTGTACTCTGGAAGACAAAGAGCAGACAGAGGGCCCATCAGAGGCAAAGGATTCGTGGCCAACGTGGGCCCCTCCCCGCCGGGCCACGCAGGAGCCGCCGAGCAGCCCGCACTGGGGCTCTGGCAGGGCTGCCGGGAGGGGCTCCAGGAGCGGGGGGCACGGCCAGGAGGCTGCGGGCCAGATGGCAGCCGACCGGCACTGTGCTGCCCGGGCGCGACACCGTCTCCCCTGGCAGTTGGGGCCACCCCAGAAGGAAGCCCACCTCCGCCGGCCTGCCTGTGCGGTGCGCACCACGGGCAGAGCTGTTGGCGTCCACACCATGGCCTGACCCCCCTCTCAACCCGCTCGCTCCTGTCCAAGCTGCCGAGCGTGGTGCCCTGGCACGTTGTAACGCTGCCCTGCCGGCCTCGTGTCTTACGAAGACAAAAGGCAGAGCGGCTGATGGGGCCTCGGTGAGCCCCCAGGAGTGGCACCCCACGCCCGAGGTCCTCTAGTGCCGGCTCTGGGGCTCAGAGACGTGGGCGGCCCCTTAGAGGAAGCCGTGCACACGAGCAGGGCTCCCAGCATCCTCAGGGACGAGCAGGTGAGCACGGCCCAGCTCAGGAGCCTTCTCCGAGCTGGGAGAGCAGCCCCACCAGGCCCCTGCCCCAGGCCAAGCGGCCACCCTCCCCGCCTGAGGGCAGGGTGGGGCAGGGCCCGGCCCCTCTCATCTGGATCAGACCCTGGAAGCCGTCTGCCTGCGACTCAGTTGCCCCGTGTGACGCATAACACTGAACAAGGCAGGGCAGGCCCCGCGCCCAGGACAGGAGCTCGCGGACGCCTCGGGCGACTCAGCACGGAGGGAAACGGATGTCCGGCTGGAAGAGGCGGGTCACGGAGCCACCGCCCGCATGGCACGCCCTGCCCGCCACGCCTGAGCCGTGTGCCAGCACGCCCGGAGGGCTGGCTCAAGAGCAGCGGAGGAAGCAGGGGCAGGCCCCCGCCCCCCGGAAGCCCTCGGGGGTTCCCGCCGCCTGTACCTCGCGTGCCCCAGCTGGCATCCCGGTCTGCTCCACAAGGGGCCAGGTTGGCGTTCTGGAAGAGAAAGAGAGAGAGAGGATGCAAGAGGGGGCTGCACAGGACCGGGGGGGTCAGAGACGGCCCCCACGTGCCTCGCACAGCCAGCAAGGAGGTGTCGGCCGCGGGTGACGCGCCTGGTGCCAGGCGGGAGGGGCGTGTCCGGGAGTGTGCACCTCGCTATCTAACCCCGCCTCCTTGAAGGTCTCCGTTGAGCCTGCTCCCTCCTCAACACGGTGCCCACAGCCTGCTGGCCCCAGTGCTAGGCAGGCCCAGGCCGACCTCGCACCCTCTGTGCCCTGCAGGACGCCAAGTGGGGCCCGCTGGCACGTGCAGGTGATCCTGACTCCTGGGGCTCCGCCCTGTCTCACAAACTCCGGTCCTGGAGCCCCCGGATTCCAGCCACACTTACAGGCAGGCGCGTGTGCGAGACCAAGTCCACCCCAGCTGAGTCCCCGAGATAGGGGGGGACCTGGGACAGCAGCCGCAGCTCCGGTGGGGTGGGGCTGCCTTAAGGATTCAAGAATCCTGGCATCTGAAAGTCCCGGGCACGCGTAAACACCCTGCACGCGCTCACCGCGTGTCCCACGCGCTCCCACAGGACGCGGAGCTGAGCACCCCTGCTCCTGTCTGCCTGTCCATCATTGGCAAACGCTGCCGTCTTCGTGGGCTGAGACCACGCACCCTGGACGCTCCACTCCTCCGCCCAGCTGAAGAGATCACCCACGCACCGTGCACTCTCCCACTGAAGGCCCCCACCAAAAGGCCTCTCCGGCCCGCCTGGCCCCTGCACCTTGCTGGCGCCCAGAGGCTGAGCCCCTTCAAGTGATGTCTTCTCCAGGCCCCGCCCCCCAGCCCCTGGGGTGCAGGGTCTGAAATGGGGTCAGGGCTCTTGGCAGTGCCTCTGAAACTGAGTACAGGGCTCCGGTTTCAACGGAGGGAGCTGTGCAGGCGGGGTGGGGGCGGCGTGCGGGGCCCCGAGGGTACTGTTACAGGGGAGGTGCCCACGGCACAGGGGACCGGCGAGAGCTGCTGCGGTCCCGGAGTGCGGGAGCGGGGAAAAGCCGCAGGAGCGGGGTCCACGGTCCCCCGTGCGGAAGAGGGCAGCGGAGGCCGGGGAGAAGCCGGCCCCACTCCTGGCCCAGCAGAGGACTCCGCAGGCTGGGTAAGTGTGCAGGAGGCGCAGGGGTCTTTGTTTAAGCACCCCCCCAGGGGGGGTGTCTCGCTCATCACGGACTTGTGCTTGACTCTGGGCCTCTCAAAAGGTCCAGCAACACGCGACCCATCCGATGCCTGCACCCGAGTGAGTGCCCCCTCGCCTCTCCCCAGTCCCTGCCCCTGCCGCTGGCCTGCGCCAGGCACCTGGGCTACCGCAACCTCTCACCTCGGCCACTTCACGGAAGAGTTCTCCCTAGGAGCTCCTGGGCACAATTCCCGAGGCATTTTGTGCACAGACTCGCACCCTGGGGGCACCTGTCCCTGTTGCTGGAAGCAGCGCAAACCTGCCTTGGCGACTTTGCTACCTGATGCAAAGGGGAAATGCTGCCCCCTAGTGCCCACTGCCCTGAACCACAGGCCTGGGCCGCTGGAGACCCATTTCCTCCGGCCTCCCCCGTTAGGGAGGGAAAGTGGGGTCCACTCCCGGCCTCTTTAGTGCCAAGTGGACACAGATTCTGCACGGCTCTCAGGGGCGAGGGGGCCTGGGCAGCGGCCGCCCTGCACGGGTGGGCAGGAGAGTACCTGGCCAGGGGCCGCCTTGAGGCAAGTCCTCAGTAGCTCACGGTGGGTTCTGCCCTCCCCTCACCGGCTCCCGTGGCACCTGCCACGGGCCAGCTGCTCTGAGAACCTCCTCTGAGTGGGGCTGCAGCTCTGGGCTGTGGGCGTCGTCACCGCCACCTCACCGCTGAGGCTCAGGCGCCCCGATCGCAGACGCAGCACCCAGGGCCGCACGCCGGAAGCCCCGGGTTTGCTCTGCTAGCTAGGCAGGAGGGCGCGGCAACGGCGTCTGAAAGCTCAGGCGTGCAGGAGCCACGCTGGGGAGCTCACGGCTCAGGCGTCCTCGCACTGACCCTGGCAGTGTCGGTCACTTTAGGAAAGGCGAGGAAACTGCCCAGAGCCGGGCTTGAACTCGGGGCTGTCTGCAGCCAACACGTGCGCGCTTCCCGAGGCTACCGTCTGGGAAGGCGAGGCGAGTGTATTAGGTCTTCTTTGTAGCCACGATGTGTTTTTAGGTTCGGTCGGGGTTGGCAGGGTGGGGCGGCCAGGGAAGCCGCGGCTGCACCCCAGCTCCGAGTGCCGATTCGAGTCCCGACTGCTCCCTGCTAAGGAGCCTGGGAACGCAGCGGGAGAGGGCCCGCGTGCTCAGGAGACCTGGGCAGCGTCCCGGGCTCCTGGCTTCGGCCGCACGGCCATTTGCAGAGTGAATCAGTCCATGGAAGATGGGTCTCTCTCTCTCTCCCCCTGTCTCTCTCTGCTCCCCCCAGCAGATGAATCAATCTTTTAGAATCACTTAGAATCCTTGTCGTTCAGCAGCTCCACGGCCTTTCAAAGGCCCCGCCTTCGCTTCAGCAAGCGCCTGGCGTCAGCTCGTCCCCGGCTGCGCCGCAGGTGGTGAACACCGGAGCTGCTGTAGTGAGCGCTTCTTGTTCTTTCTTTTTTTTTTTTTTTTTTTTTTTTTTTTTTTTTTAAGATTTTATTTATTTATTTGAGAGGTAAGTTACAGACAGTGAGAGGGAGAGACAAGAGAGAGAGGTCTTCCATCCCACTGGTTCATTCCCCAGATGGCTGCAACAGCCGGAGCTGTGCTGATCTGAAGCCAGGAGCCAGGTGCTCCCTCCTGGTCTCCCACGCAGGTGCAGGGGCCCAAGGACTTGGGCCATCCTCCACTGCTTTCCCAGGCCACAGCAGAGAGCTGGATGGGAAGAGGAGCAGCCGGGACTCGAACCGGTGCCCATATGGGATGCCGGCGCCGTAGGTGGAGGATTAAACTGGTGCGCCACGGCGCTGGCCCCTTGGGTAGTTCTTTATCAGCTAGGAAGCGTCTCGTTTCTACTATTAATTATTGCTCCCTTTTCTAATATTTAAATTTTTCTACTCACTCGCTTTACCCTGACGTCCACCTGACGAAATACCAGCGTCGCCCTCTGCCTTCCTACACGCAACGTCAGCGTCTCTCCCTCATCCTCTGCCGGCGCGTCTGGCCTTTGAACAGTCTACGGAGTGCCCCTGCGGTGGCGCCGGCTGGTTTCGCAACCCAGCCTGCCAGTCTCGGGGGGCTCCGTCTGCACACCCCGAGTGCCAGACTGTCTGCACTGAGACTTCCGCCAGGGGCTCGCACAAGCCTCCCGGGGCGGGGTGGGGGGGTGGCTGTCCCACCTGCTGGGTGTCGGGGTCCAGGGCAGCCCTCTGGGGCACAGGGTGCTTGGGACAACAGACCCAGAGCGAGCCCCGGAAGACCCTGCCTCGCTGGTGAACAAGAACCACACGAGTGGAGCGCGGGGCCTCTACGCCTCGGCCGCCAGGAAGCTCAGAGCTGAGCCTGAACCGCTCTCTGGCAGGGTTCTCATTTCTGCTGCATTTTCTCCGATCGCGTCTCCCCGCCCCCTTCGCGAGTGGGGCCCACGGGGCTTTTGTCTCCGTGTGTCTCTGTTTTTCCTTTAGGCCACCCGGAGCCCTTGTCAAAGGCACAGAGCAAGAAACAACACACGGGACGACTGACGCGCAGGCCCGGTGCTGCCCGGCTCCTCGCACGCACAGGGACGGCACACGCCCTCCTAGCCCTCTCCTTCCCGCCCGCGAGGCGCCCGCGTAGAGTGGCCCGGGTCCGAGGCTGGCTCTGGGCGAGGGGACCGAGCCCGCCCTGCCCGAATGCTGGCTGCACCCCGCGGCTGGAGACCAAGACGTGCCGTGTCACCACGCCGAGGAGCCTCAGCCCGCGCGGCCGGTCCCGAGAGGGAAACGCTCTTGGGTCACGGACAAACGGGCTCAGAGCTGAGAGAGGCGGCCCCGGAGCGGGGCGGGGGGCCTGGGGCTGTGTGTAGGAGGCTCTGGTCCACCAGGCTTCCCTGACGCCAGGCTCCGCACCACCGGGTGCAGGGCACACAGGGTCTGTCTCCCAGGAGCGAGGCCGGCCCCCTGCAGAGACCCAGGCTTGCAGTCACGTGTCCCAGGGTTTGGGAGACCCAGACTGGGCTGACAGCAGCCAAAGGGAGCCCCCAGCCGCGGGTGGGCCGGGCCTGCCTTGGGGCTGAGGACAGCAGCCCAGGACGGGGGCTCCCAGCCCTCGCAGGCCACAGGGCACAGCGCAGCCCTCCCTCGGGGTCCCAGGACGGCGACAGACACCCAGCTCCTCGCATAAAATGACGGCACGGTAGGGACATACGGGGGACTCCGACTGCGTGGAATGTGGGCTCGGCAGGCTACGTTGGTGCAAAAAGCCTTTAAGTCCACGCCTCCCCTTACCATACTCTCCGTTTTCCGTGGGCCTCCCCTCTAGATGCCCTGCAGAGCGGCCACGGGGACAGCCGCCACGCCTCGCTGCTCGGGGAACCAGGGCCAGGAGCCGCGGCCACCTGGCTGGCGCTGTGCCTTTCCCGGAGGATTCCCCACCCGAAGCAGTGTCCCAGGAGGCGGGTACCCAGGGGACCTTGGCCTGTGTCACGGGAGGAGGGGTGAGGCTGGAGGGGCTTCCTGGGGCAGCCCCGACCCCGCCACTGGGCGGGGCCTGCAGCAGGAGTGGAGGGGAGCAGCGGTGTTGCAGGTCCCGCCCCGGCAGCCCTGGCGGAGCACGGCCCCCGCCTCCCCCTCCCTGCGTGGGAACCGCGCGGACTCGGGGTCAGGGCCGGCACAGCGTGGCTGGGGAGGGGTCGGGTACCTACCCGGTGGTCCAAGCCATTCTTGCCATATCCTGGGATGGAGTCAGACTTGGAATAGTGGAAACCTGAAACAGACACACAGCCGTCACGAGCGCCCAGCCCAGCCCGGCCAGGGGGCGTGGCCGGGCAGGGACCCCAGGCCACCCGGCCAGGGTGTGGGTGACAACCTGAGCCCGCCCATGACACACAGAGCCTGACCCCAGCCCCGTGGGCACCCATGGCCAGGGACGGGTCCTCTGTCGCCCCTCCCCCACTTCAGACAGGGGCCCTGGGGGCAGAGGCAGGGCAGCCAGAGCTGAGCCGGGGTCAGCAAACAGAGACCCACCACAGCCCCACGCCACGGCAGCCGGCACCTCCCATGGCCTGCGTGGGAAGGCAGGGAGGAGGCAGAGCCTGGGCCCCCTGCAGGGGCAGGCCCCGTCACGGGAGGAAGCACACTCGGGAGGCCTATGCCGCTCACACCAGCATGGCGCACGTGCCCAGTGCCCCCGAGGCCTTGCGTGGACACAGCGCTGCAGGCCGTGCCTCCATGTGGAGGGAGGGCGCCGTGCACACAGCTGCTGGCCCACCCGCCTCCTGCCCCGGGAAGGCCTGGCTTCCGAGCAAGGCCGCAGCTGGCAGCCTTTCATTCCGGGGCTCTCAGCGGCTCACTGAGGACACAGGAAATTCTGCCAAGGCCACAGGTGGACACAGCAAAGCCCACGAAAAGACACCCATGGGAGGTTCTGGAAGGTGCTGGTCAGGACCTCTGGCTACGTCAGCATGAGGGGGTCTCAAAGTTCTCCCAGCCAAAGAACCCTGTTGTCACACGGCCTGTGACCTCCGATATGCAAACCAAGAGTGGGGCAGCGAGGGGGCTCGGGGCCGGGCCTGCTCCTCCTGGCCTGTCCAAGCTGCTCCAGGTAAGCGGTCTGTCCGGCTCTCACTGCAGAGGGGGCATCGGGGCGCAGGGCCACGCAGGCACTGGCCCCAGGCCAGCCAGCGGCAGTCCCCGGATGCCCCCCGACTTGTAATCCTGAGGTCCCTCCAGGAAACAGCTGCTTCCTGGCTCATGCACTGATCCGGGCCCACCCTGGCTTCCAGCGGATCCCCAGCTGGCAGCCTTCACCCCGCTAGGGGACCCTCCCCGGAGCCCACACTGCATCGGGATTCTGGGTCGGGGTCTGCTGTCCGTGCCCACAGCTTTCTGGGCCACCCGACGCCCACCAACGTCCGGGAACCACTGCCCATGGCCTCAAGACCAGCACACGCCCAGCTGCGTCCGTGCACCACCCAGGCCAGCGGGTCTCCCCAGGACACGCGCGTAACATTCCCAGCACACGAGCGCCATCTGCTGGCCGTGGTGTTTGACCATTTCGCAGGAGGCGCAGAAACCTGAGTTTCCTGACGGCCACTTGGTGCCGGCCACCTCTTCTGCCCGCCTGCTGTGCCCACGCCAGCCAACCATCAGCCACGATTTAGATCGGCCCCACTGGTTCCTGGCATGGCGCCGGCTCTCTCCCGCAGGTCCACGCCGTCTCCCGTGGCCTCCCTGGAGTTTGGGGGACGTCCCCTAGCTTTAAGGGCGAGTCTGCCAGAGGCAAAGACTCAGCTTCGCTCTGAGAACACCTTCCTTTCTCACTTGGCCCTGAGGCTGTGCCTGCCGAGCCCAGATCGGGGGCAGCTCCTCGCCGAGCCCAGATCCGGGGCAGCTCCTCGCCGAGCCCAGATCCGGGGCAGCGTCCCGCCCTCCTGGGGCCTCCTGGATTCTGACGGGGATCAGCTGTCATGTGGGTGGGACGCGGCCTCGCTCACCGGCTGCTTTCAGCTGCTTTTGCGTTCCCCTTGGCTACACTTTCTGGAAGTCTGACTACAATGCGTCCTGGCCTGGGCTTTTCCAGGGCCTCCTCTCGGGGGGTTCGCTCGATTCCTGAACCTGCAGATTCACGTCTTCTGGCCAACATTTCTCAAGTTCCCAGCCCTTCAAGCCCATTCCCTGTCTCCTCTCCGTCTGGGAACCCAGTGGTACACTACCGTCTCCCAGGTCCCGAGGCACTCCTCAGCCCTTCTACTACTTTATCTTTGCTTTGTCCTTTAGTTTTAGATACGCTCTGTTGCTCTGTCTTCAAGTTCCTCCCCCTCTCGAAGTTGTCCAGGGTCTTGGCCAACAAGGGCTCGGACGCGGTCTCAGTCCCGAAGCCGCCGGCGCGGTGGGCAGGGTTCCTTAGTGAGATTCCCGGGCTGCGTGCGTCACGTGGCTTCCAGTTCGGTTCTGTCGTGGCGGGGGAGACCCGCCCACACCTGATCTCATTTGTCGCTGCAGAAGGCCATGAAGTGTCTCGTGGATCACACGAGGGGTGGGCACAGGGTGCCGGTCCACCCAGGCCATGAAGCCGGGTTTCTCGTGGACACGCTCACTGGTCACTTTATGCGCCCCTGGCCCTCGGGCATTCAAACCCAGCCTGAGACTTGGCTGCACCCGTCTCCTCCTGAGCCAGGCTTCCCCGAGGCCAGGGCGGCTCACTCAGGAGTTCATTCAGGAACCGGTTCCCGCCAGTTGCTTCCAGTATGGTCAGGTTATTTGCAGCTGTTTCATCCACTGATTTTTATTTTGGTTATTATATTCTTCAGCTCTACACACCCGTTCCATTTGATTTTCGGTTTTGATAACCTCTGTCTCTGGTGGGATTTTTCGGTAGCTTCGGCAGTGTCTGCCATGAGGGACCCCTTCGAGTCCCTTTCACACTGTGCCAATGTTGACTCTTTGCTGCGTTGGTGACTGTCGGTCGTCTTCCCCAGTCAGTCACCCTCTGGTCCCTGGGACACGGAGTGCCTTTCTAGCGTGTCCTGGACGGCTGGGATCGAGGGTTAGGAGCTGAGACACACGCGAGTCCTCATTCCAGCAGGCAGGTTTAGTGTGTAGGGCACCAGTACAATGTGGTCTTCAGAACTTGTCTAAGCGCCGTTCCGACGCTGCCCACGGGGGCATACTGTGCATTCCGAGTTGCCTTGTGCCACTGGGATGGGGTGGGGTGATGTCAGCCAGGGGTGTGGCCATTTCCCTGCGCCCACTCTCTGGGCCACGGGGTATCTGCAGGCTTCCTGCTCGGTACCTGCTGGTGTGGTGGGAGGAGGGAAACCCCACACCACCACCTTGTGCCCCTGCGTGGGCGCAGTCCACGCCCCCTCCCTCCCTCTGGAGTCCTCCATGAGAGTCAGAGGGGTTGTTCCTGGGTTCTTTGGGGTGAACTTCCTGCAGAAGAGCTGGGAGAGGAGGAGACGTGTCTCATGCCCCGGGCTGCCGTCTAGACCCGTGGAAGTCGGTCTCTTGGGGCGGGACTGGTCATCAGTAGCTTTTACAGGTCCTGGGGGTCCCGTGTGCAGGAAGTTTTTTTAAAAGCCCCTCCACGCTGGCAGAGGTTTCACTCGACTCTCACCGGCCCACGCGCTAAACGAGAGTCCGGGTGGGTGCTTGGCCCAGTCATTGTGACGCTGCTTATGATGCCTGTGCCTCACGTTGGACTGCCCGAGTTCAAGTCCCAGCTCTGTTCCCGACTCCAGCTTCCTCCTGCAGCGGGCGACGGCTCAAGTGCGTGGGTCCCTGCCGCCCGCATGGGGGACCTGGCTGCAGCTTTGGGTTCCTGGCTTCAGCCTGAGCCGGCCCTGGCTGCGGCAGGCACCTGCGGAGCGAACTGGTAGATCGGAGGATGGGAGAGCCCCGTCTCTCTTGTTCTCGCTCAAATACATTAAAAACAGAGTCAACGTTAAAAAAGGATCCCACTTCACAGTCGAGGCGGCTTCGGTCTGAGGAGGTAAAGTGACCTCCACAAGGTCAAGCTGACAGAGTGAGCGCAGGGCTCCTGCAGCCGGCACAGCCACCATCTGCCCCGGCAGCCCCGGCGATGTGGGTGTGCAGGCGGCCGAGACTCCTGGAGACCTGTGCGCCACGGATGGCGGTGGCCTTGTGGAGCGCGTGGCTGAGTGTGCACAGAGGAGAGGCAGGGAGAGCGCGTGGCTGAGTGTGCACAGAGGAGAGGCGGGGAGAGCGCGTGGCTGAGTGTGCACAGAGGAGAGGCGGGGAGAGCGCGTGGCTGAGTGTGCACAGAGGAGAGGGAGGGAGAGCGCGTGGCTGAGTGTGCACAGAGGAGAGGCGGGGAGAGCGCGTGGCTGAGTGTGCACAGAGGAGAGGCGGGGAGAGCGCTGGCTGAGTGTGCACAGAGGAGAGGGAGGGAGAGCGCGTGGCTGAGTGTGCACAGAGGAGAGGGAGGGAGAGTGCATGGCTGAGTGTGCACAGAGGAGAGGCAGGGAGAGTGCGTGGTTGGGTGTGCACAGAGGAGAGGGAGGGAGAGCGCGTGGCTGAGTGTGCACAGAGGAGAGGGAGGGAGAGCGCGTGGCTGAGTGTGCACAGAGGAGAGGGAGGGAGAGTGCGTGGCTGGGTGTGCACAGAGGAGAGGCGGGGAGAGCGCGTGGCTGAGTGTGCACAGAGGAGAGGCGGGGAGAGCGCGTGGCTGAGTGTGCACAGAGGAGAGGCAGGGAGAGCGCGTGGCTGAGTGTGCACAGAGGAGAGGCGGGGAGAGCACGTGGCTGAGTGTGCACAGAGGAGAGGCGGGGAGAGGACGTGGCTGAGTGTGCACAGAGGAGAGGCAGGGAGAGCGCGTGGCTGAGTGTGCACAGAGGAGAGGGAGGGAGAGCACGTGGCTGGGTGTGCACAGAGGAGAGGCGGGGAGAGCGCTGGCTGAGTGTGCACAGAGGAGAGGCGGGGAGAGCGCCGTGGCTGAGTGTGCACAGAGGAGAGGCGGGGAGAGCGCTGGCTGAGTGTGCACAGAGGAGAGGCGGGGAGAGCGCGTGGCTGAGTGTGCACAGAGGAGAGGCGGGGAGAGCGCGTGGCTGAGTGTGCACAGAGGAGAGGCGGGGAGAGCGCTGGCTGAGTGTGCACAGAGGAGGGGGGGAGAGCGCGTGAGCCCACGGGCAGTGGCAGCGGATCTGGGGTGAGGTGGCAGTGGCGTGAGTGCGACCCAAGTCCCATCAGGCCCTGCAGGCACCGGACACCGCGTCTCCCCAGGCCCAGCCTCCCTGCCTGCGACCCCTCGCCCTCTGCACTCCGCTGGGACCACTCTGGGGCCCTGAGCAGCTCTCCCGGGGTCTGTCCTCCTCTGGGCTGACCCCTCAGAAGTCAGAGCAACTTCCAAACAGCCCCGGGGAGGTCCTCTGTGGCCAGATGCAGCTGGAGACACGGCTCCCGGCAGCACCCACCTCCATGCTTTCTGGACACCTGAGCCGTCTCCCGGGCAGGCGGCCGTGGGCTCCCCGGTGCCTGCACTTCTGACCGCAGCCGTGGCCTTCTGCAAGTCTGGTCCCCCCCCCCCCCCCCGCCGCCTCTGTGTCCCCAGCAGAGGAAGGAGAGGCCGGAACACCCGCTCCAGCCCTCAGAAATTTGAACGCGAGACCCTCGAGTGCTCCAAGCATGGGGCTCAGGCAGGGGAGACAGGCCTGTGGCAGCTGCGGAAGGAACGCTGGGCTCCATAAAGCCAGGGTGCTGGGACGCCGAGCCCCCGCCTTGCCTGCCGTGGTCCCCCTGCACTTAGGGAGAGGCTTTGGCAGGCCTGTGGGTGGGGGGCGCCCACGGGGAGAAGACGCAGAAGGTCACAGATAAAGGTCAGGCCTGCGCTGGGGGAGGGGCAGCACTTCCGGCGTGGGGTGGGGATCTCAAGACCCAGGCAGAGGTGGGAGGGTGCAAAGGAGCCCAGAGATGTGGAATGAGACCCCAGCTCCTGCCACGGCCCTCACACGGGCACTGCCGGGGCGGGGAGCCAGGCAGGTGCTGGCCTGGGCACGCCCGGGGGCACTGACACGCTGGGATTTCGGCTCTGCCCCAGGCAGCCGCGTCCTCTCGTGACCTCCCCAGCTCCCACCGCTCGCTCTGGGGGCTTGGAGATGAGCGGGAGGCGGAGAGAACACCCTGACCCCCAGCTGGGGGCCTTGCTAACAGAAAGACCCACGCCTCCTGGCCAAGGTGGCCATTCCCACGGAGGAGCCTCTGTACCACGCGGCTACCCCGGCACCTGCCCAGCGTCTGTGTTGGCTCCTTGTCCTGGCACGCAACCCCTTGACTGCCCACGTGCCCCGCATCCTGCTGTGCTGACCAGGGTGGGGGTCCCTGGGCCCCCACCCCAGGCCGGGCAGCCCTGCCTCCCCCTCCCCAGCTGCCCATCCCATGCGTGATGTGGGTACAACTGAATCCGGCCGTGGGGCTGGCGGTGAGCGCCTCTCCCTGGCCAGCCCTGCCTGCCCACCCCACCCTCATGTGCTGCGTGCGAGCACCCCTCCTGCCTGCCTGTCCCAACCCCAGCTCCAGTGGGGGTCAGACCACGGAACCCCCTAGACCCTTCCCTTCCAGTCGAGTGCAGTGACCTAGCTTGTCCCACAGATCCACGCTCACGGCCCCTCCCCCGCCACGCCGGTCCCTCCTGTTCCTCCACCCCCAGCCCTGCCTCCACCCTGACGGCCATGTCCCTCCCCACACCCTGCACTGAGGGAGACCCTCCCTCCCGGACTGCTTGTTTCAACCGCACCCTCGCTCCGGGCTGCCCGGCTCCTAACCCAGGCGCCCATGACCCCAGGGCAGGGGCATGGCTGCTGCTCCGCCCCCAGTACCAGGTGGTATGCAACACGTGAAGGCGCCTGGCCCTCGCCCAGGCCCTGTGCCCACCCGGGGCTCTTGGCTCCGCCCCTCACTCAGGCCTGCCCCCTCCAGTATGCTCAGGGGACGGACAGGCAGCAGATCCAGGAGTCTCTTCCCAGCCAGGACTCTTCCCGCCTGAGAACCCCAGAGGGACACGGGGGAGGGGAGAGGCCGTGTCCGCCCTTGCCCCCGCCCGCACGAGAAGCTTTGCGGGGACCCCGGCTCCAGAACCTCCCTCCCAGGGGCACGGGCAGTGTCCTGCCCTCGACCAGGCCCTGCAGGGAGGCTCACAGCTGCAGACAGAGGGGGGGCACACAGCAGGTGCCACAGCCACTGGCTGGGCTGGGGGTGAAGACCCTCCCACCCGTCTCCCAGCCTGGGGTTCGAGAAAGGGTGCTGCTCCCTCGGGGGGGCCGGGTTCTCTGGGCGGGGTCTCCGCCGGCCAGGGGCTGTTCTGGGCTGCCGCGCAGTGCAGGATCTGAAGCGCCGGGAGTGTGGGACGGGGCGGCCAGGGAGGGGCCTCTGCAGCCTCCCTGCGGGCAGCGAAGCCTCATCGCACGAGGCCCAGGCCCCTCCCTCAGAACGGAAACTCACAAGCCTCTGCTCTCGGGTCACAGGGAGCCCTGCCCAGGCCTTATGAAAAGCAAGAGGGGCGGGGCCCGTGGTAGACCCTCCCTGGAGGGCGTGGCCATGCCTGGCTGAGAGCCACAGCCCTAGGATCAGCCTGGCCCCTGGGCGGGGCCGTCCCCACCTGCCTCTCCCCTCCCAGCGTGCAGCAGGTGCTCAGTAGACATGGGGGGGTGACTGAGGTGAATTCAGCCCCAGCTGGGGTGTGCTGATGGCGTCATGGGTGGCATGAGGCTGTGACCAGGCCCCCTTGGAGCCCACGGAGGCGCCCAGGTGGGCGGGGGGTAGCAGGGCACACGGGCGCTCCTCCCGCTGGCACCTCCGCCCCTCCCAGCTGCCCGCTCGCTTCTCCAGCCCGTCCTGCTGCCCCCGGCCCCCGGTCGGCGTCTGGCGCAGACTGGAGGCTCAATAAACACCCATGGAATCCATTTCAGCTCAACTGTATTCAGCGTCACAGGCCGGCGTCCTGGGGTGCAGGCGGGCACCGACAGCCCGCCCTGCAGCCCCTCACCCTGCCCTCGGTGCAGGGAGGGTGGTCGCCCACCCCAGACCCCTGCACGCTGACCTCAGCTCCTGCCCAGCCCTGAGGCGCCGACGCCACGGGGGCTGCAACCTGGGCGCTGGCTTAGGAGAGCACACGCGACACGAGACACGGGTGGCGGCCGGTCTCCGGCACTGTAATCGGCACGCCCCGCGTCCTCACGGGTTCCCGTCCCCTGGAGCGCCATGAGCATCACGGGACGAGGATGAGCACGGATGACACCGAGCACGGCCGCCGGGCTCAGCCTCCCACCCGGCAGACCCAGGCTCAGAGCTGCGGCTGGCGGGGGGGGGGGCGAGGCCGGATCTGCCCCTGGGTCTGTCTGGCAGCAAAGCTGGGATTCTCCCTCTGCCTTCGCACACCCACATTACCCCCTCGGCCTCTGCTTCCAAACCGGCCCCAACCGGGCCCCGGAAACGATGCCCGCGGCTTAGCCCCGGAGGCTACTTCCGGGGGCTGTGGGTGTTCAGCATCTTCAAGCCAATGACACGATCTGGAACTTTACATTTGGAAATCACTCCCCGCTCAGGCAGACGGCGTCCCCGGCGCCCCCGAAGTCTGAGGCCTCAGGATGAGTCACGGGGGGCTGAGTCTGGACTCGCCCACCTGAGCCATGCCCCGCCCTGGAGGGACGCAGGCCCCGAAGCCCCGCGCCGGCAGCCCGGAGAGAACTCGGGGCGCCTGCTGCCAGGGCCCACCGCGAGCACACTGCCAGCCGAGCCAGGTTTGCCCTCGTGGCGGATGACTCATGGGAGGTGTGGGGGCTGCTGGGAGCCACGGGCCCTCTGCGCCCGCCACGGCTCCTCGCTCAGAAGAGCCACTCACGCGAGAACTCGCTGTCCCCGGGCACCCTGTGGACGGGGTCTCGGTCGGGGCCGCTGCTCTGGGACAGTGACTGGCTGTCCAGGTCCGGGGAGTTGGTCCTGGTGTCCGGCTCGCCCTTGAGCAGCAGCCAGCTGGTCTTCTGTGGGGAAGGAGAGGCCGCGTGAGTCCCGGGGCCGCTCGCCTGCTCTGCCACCTCTGCTCTAGGGGCCCACGTCCCCCTAGAAAACACAAGGAGCGAGGAGCCCACCTCTCACCGCGGGACCCACCCAGAGGCCGCACGGCGCTGCCCCATTTCACAGATGCAGAAACTGAAGCTGAGGGAGCTCGGGCTCGGGGCTTCACCTCGGGGGCACAGGGCGAGCCCACCCAGCCTGGGGTCCTCCCCACCCAAGTCAAGGGGAGGGGCCTCGACGTGAGAGCCAGGGACGGGGACCTCAGCCCACGGGTCTGATCCCGGATCCCACCCGCAGCCCGCTTTCGTGAGGACGAGTGGATGGGCGTGCGGCTGTGCCTTCCCCGAGCAACATCCCGGGGCCGCTTGCCCGAGGGCGGCGGCGGCATCAGAGGCGTGCAGCCTGCGAGGTGGGAAACAGCCAGACAGATGGCGTCGGCCGGCCGGACAGACACACGGTGGCCGCTGGGCCTGCTGTGGAGCCCGGGAACACGGCTGGCTTCTTTCCCTTGCCTGTTCACACCCCCACCCCGGTTACGGGGCTGGAGCCAGAGCCAATCCGTGGGCAGCAGGTGCGCCTGAGGCCGGCAGAGCGCTGTGCCCTCGTGACCTTGGGGGAGCCCCAGGAGCGGCCCGTGAGAGGAGGCACAGAGTGGGGTCAGCGCCCCGCGTTACCTTCCTGCTGTCCTGCTCGAAACTCGCGTCCTCCCCGTCCAGTCGCCTCGAGGCTGGAAGGGAGAAGCCGGCCGTGAGCACCACGCGCCCCGGGCCCCGCGCCCCGCCCTGCAGAAGACCCTCCAGGAAAGGGCGGCGCGGGAGAAGCTTCTGGCAGGCAGGCTGAGAAGGTGGGCCCCTGGCCCTGGGCGTGAGCAGCCCTGGAGACCGAGGGCCGCTATGAGGGGCAGGGAGGGGTGCCCGCCGCTCCCGCAGAGAGAGACTCGTGCTCAGAGGCCCCACTCGGCGTTTGGAAGAACACGTTCCGCCTTCCAGGGTGAACTAGGAAGCAACAGGTCTCCGGCAGGACGTGAGCCATGTGGACTGCCTGGCCCCACCCAACCCATTGTTCAGACTGGGGGGCAGCGGCCGGGGGGATGGCCTGCCTCATCCACGGTCACGGCCAGCGTGGCAGACACTGACCAAGTGCTTCCCTGTCTGTCCCACTCTGCTCCTGGCTGTGCGTAAGCAGAACACGGGGAGCGGGTTACGTCCCCGGGGAGAAGGGACAAAGCCCCCCAGACAGGGCCAGGGAGACCCTGCACGCAAGGTCACCTTGCACAGTTGCTGGGCCACAGAGACCACCGGGGCTGAGCCAGGAGGCTCTGTGTTCCACGTGCAGGTGTATGCACACGTGTGTGTGTGCATGCGTGTGTGTGCGTGCATCACTCTCCTCAGCTGAGATCGTCTCCAACCAAGAAGACGCCACGCGAGGCCACGCCCACTTTTCTCGGCACCCGACTCAGTACGGAAAACCCCGTTTAGCATGCTCTGCCCCGACACACGCACCCCATGCATGGAACCGTTAAGCAACGAGGCCGTCTCCTGCCCCAGCCCGCCAGGGACACCGGGGCCCTGGCCAGGACCCGCCGGGGCAGGCTTCTTACCTGCCGCCCGCGGAGGGCTGGGGCCCGGCAGCCCTCTAGGACGCCCTGCGTCCCGCACGACCGAGGACAGGACGGACACCAGGCCAGAGAGCTCGGACACGGGGGACTGGGCTACAGGACCTTGACAAGATAAGGCCAGAGCAGGAGGCTGAGCAGCTGTCCGGAGGCTGCTGGCGCCCTGGTCCTCCAGCGTTCTCAACCCTGCTCTCTCCGGCCAGAGGACAGCGGGAGAGCGCGTGCGGGGGCGGGGGGGCAGCGGGGGCCCCTGTTGCTGGGACGACGGCCGGCGCCCAGGAGCGGGGCCTTGAGTGCCTGACCACACACACAGGCTCGTCCTGGCCGCAGCCACCTCAGGCCCAACACCAGCCCCAACGAGCGGCTGACGACAAGGCATCGGGCTCCCAGGGCCAGTGAGCAGTGTGCCAGACGCTACCTGAGGCTTTTCACATCCGGGTCACCAGCACGCAGTGGGCTCTGTGGAGAACCAGGAGCCCAGGTAGGAACACACGGGGGAAGGGCACTCTGTTATTCACGGCTGGCTTCCTTACCAGCCTCAGTTTCCTGTTCTGTAAAATGGGCAAGTAACGCCGAGTCCTGCAAGCTGTGAGGACCCCGTGGGGTCACCTATGCAAAGGGAGAACAACTGGAGGGGCAACCGTGGGGGGGGGCAACGTGGGGAAAAGCAAGAACTGAGCCGGGGGCTGCACCGTGGCACTCTGTGTGTGTGTGTGTGAGCCGGGGCTGCACCGTGGCACGCTGTGTGTGTGTGTGGGGGGCTGCACCATGGCATGCTGT